TCTGTGGTGAACAGAATATAGATGTTAAAAATTGTTTGGTTTTGGGTTTTTTTTAATGTCTATTTCCATGAAGATTTTAGCCACCGTATTTGTTGTTCTGGTCACAGATTCTAGACCGGCAGCAAGTTTTTATGTGCTTTCAATATTAGCGGCTTATCTCTTCTGATCTCCATTGACAGATGACCAACGCTGATGCTTGAAATGCTGCATTTGGCCCGATCTCCCTGGGGATTCCTTCCTGCTCACTTCTCCCCCTTCCTCTCCCTCCTGCCTGTGCCGCAGACCTGCCTCCCCTGTGCTGCTGTTTCAGGCAGGCACGTTCTGCACCCCTCCAAGACATGCCTGGGGCAGGGGTCCCTCTCACCTCCCCCCTGCTGCTCTGCCCAAAATAGACGCAGAGGCTCAGGAAGGAAATGCCAGGGCTCAAGGTTCCTGAAGGAGGCAGGGAGGGAAAGGGCAGCAGATGCTCGAGTCATGAGGTGAGTAGGCGCAGGGAGATAGTGACATTCCAGAAAGGTGTCTCGCTGGCCCAACAAGCATCCTCCCAGCCTGAGACTGGGGGGGGGCTTTAGCTGGGCAACAACCTGAAGCCATGCATCTTGAGGCTGAAATCGCTGGAGCAGCATATCTAGTACGTTGTTAAATGGACTGGCTTATTAGCAGTGTTTAAAAATGAACTTTATTTGCAGAGACCCATGAACAGTAAATGCTGGCAAAAGCGGGCCTGCAAAAACCAGCTGCAAATGGTTAGGAAGACCCATGAACAGTAAATGATGGCAAAAGCAAGCCTGCAAAAACCAGCTGCAAATGGTTAGGCAGAGCAATAAAACCAGTCACTGCCATGCTGTCCCTTCTGTGTGCGGGGCTGTTAACAGTGTTAGCCTGGCTTACTGGTAACAGGTAGAGATTATTTGCGTAACAGTCCCTCTGTAAATTACCTGACAGCAAAACTGAGCTTTCCCTGCTTAAAGTATATCAAGTGAATGAAGGCAGGAAATGCGCTGCGTGGTCTGCCATGTGTCCGGATAAGAGCTGGAGAAAATTGGGATGGATGGATGGTTTGCTTGGAGATCAGAAGGCTCCAGAAGGAGCACACATGGTCTCTCAATGTTGGAAGTAGGAGGGGGCTGTGTGGGTCTCCCCATTTGTGACGATGTTCCTCGGGGACCATGGGGATGACCTGGCAAAACCCAGACATCACTCCTGTAAGCCGTGCCTGGGCGTTTACCCCGAACGGCCAGCGCGGGTAATGCTCTGGAGAGATGCTGCTTCTCTCGGCAGGGGTGGGATGAGCAGGGAGCGAAGCTGTGCCTCCAAAGCCTGCCCAGGGAGCATCGTATTGTCTCGCTGTCCCTGTTGTGCAGTGACCCTGCTGTGTGATGGCAGGGTGACCGGTCAGTGCTGACTCCTTTATTTTACCAAAATTGCTGCTCTGCTGTTAGCCCTTTGATAGAAGGCTGCTGGCAAGGTGCATCCAAATGAAGGGTCTTGCTGTCTTTTGCTGTCTCACTTGGATTTCCCATCCTGGGGGGCTGAGCAGCCTCTCTGCTGTGCAGGTTTTGTTCCTGCTCTCCCAACGCCAAACCTCTTTCTCTGCTGGCCGCCAGTCAGGATGCTGCAGCCTCCCCAGGCTGCCGTGGCTGCTTTCGTGCAGGGCTGTTTGCTCGCACTTGAGCATGATTTAAAAATCTCATCTGTGGAAATGGCAGGCTGAGGCTGTAGCAGAAACAGCGCGTTAAATCTGCTGACAGTCACCTCGGGAGGAGGAGTTTCTGTGTCTCTGCCTGTGATTCACCGCGTGCTGGGAACAAGTGGAAGGTAAAGGGGTCATGGCAGCCTGGAGCAGGGAGGACAGAGCTGATGCTGAAGAGAAGCTTTGACCGCACAGTGTGGTGGGGGAGGCAGACCTAACCTTCGGGAGAGCGTGCGTTAACAGAGATGAAGTTGGTCATTACCACTCCAACTGAAAAATGTGATTACTTTCACTGCAGTTGCAGAGAAAATGGTGTTGGGCTATGGCTGCACTGTAATTTTAAGCCAAGTGAGGCTAGAAGAGGGACAAGAAATAAGGTGAGCGTGAAGAAACTGGAAGAAGCCTCTTGAGTGGGGAGGTCGGAGGGTTGGAAAAAGAAGATCTTAGCTGCTCAGGCTGTATTTTATTTACCCTGGGGAGTCCATTACTGTCCCCTTTGGAGAAGCGATGGCAGCCAGTGCCAGGAAGGGATGTCCTGGGCAGTCACAGAGTGGAGTGTGTGTTGCAGTTTGGTGGGGACTGAAAAAAAGGAAGATCTATGGTAGGGAAATGATATGTGGAGGGCCAGATTGCCCTCAGCCTCACTGGAAAGTTCCCAGAGAGCTTGGCTGCCCCTTGCTGCTCCCCAGCTGGAGGCTGTCTCACGGGCACTTTCCATGAGAACAGCCAAAAGCACATCTCCACTGCTCTTTGGATGATGCTTCAGTTCCTGCTCAAAGGATGAAGGCTTTTAAAATATTACAAGTAAATGGATCCTGAAAATGTTTCTTACACGTCTTAAGCTTTCCAGTATGTGGTTTCTTAATAGTAGCAGGGTAATTTTCTGCTCAGCATTTCTACAAAAGCCCAATGTGGCACTGATTCTCTGGTGCGAAGGATTGCAGCTTCTGGAGGTCTCGATTCTGGCAAAGCTCTAAGCAACTGAAAGGAGGGTTAAATGAGGTGAAAAGTGTGTGCCAACGTGAGCCATGACAGCTTTACCAGCTTTGCTGCTGCTGCTAAATCCCAAATGCATTTCCTACCCCAGTGAGCTTCAGTAAGATCCTCGAGGGTTTTTCTTTTTCTCTAACACCTGGGTAATGCCATGCATGACTCATCCTCTCTCCTACTGTCAAAGCACGTTCAATTCTGCAGGAGAGATGCGCAGTGTGACCGAGCGCCTGATGCTTGTGTCAGCTCTGTTCATCGCCTGGCGGGTCAGCTGTCCTCAGGACAAAAAAAATCAGCAACGCTTACATGTGTGTATCTGCACGTGGGATGTGTTTTAAGGAGAACCGTACACGTGTATAACGACTTTGGGTAAACAAGCCCAACCTGTGCTGTCTTTTCCAGGTGGATTTTCAGTCAAACTTCCAGTACAGTGTTAACAAAAGGTAGGTGGAGAGAAGGGACCCAGTAACAGCTACAGGAACCTTCCCCCTCATCTCCTGTAAAATGTCCCATTTCCTCCATTCAGAATTTTTAATTAAAAAACTCCCCATTGAAAAAGGTCAGGACAGCTTGACTCTGCCACCCACATACCAATAGCCCAACAGCAGTGTAAGCTACTGGCAGTAAAAACTCCTCCCAATCTGGGAAAAAAGCCCCCAGGACCCACTCTACCTTGAATAAGTAACAAATGGCAGCGGTGACAGCCTGTCCCCATGTCGCCATGTACCTTGTGAGGAATTGGTATCCATCACCCCCATTTTTGCTGGCTTTCTTTATAAATAACATACAGCTCCTCACCTTACCCATTGTCTCTTCCTCCTTAGCGCTGCTTCATCTCCTTCTCCCTTCAGATGACAATCTTATTTTTTAAGACTGGGTGCAATGTGCTTTTGTGCTTCTAATGTATGGGTGCCAGTGAGTTGTCAGATGCACCAAAAGCTCCTTTGTTTCATTCTCTGTAATCGCGGGCACGTGATGAGCTCCTGATCGTCCATCTCTTTGCTGCTAATGTCTGGACACTGCAGTTGCATTACTAAGATAGGCAGAGTCTTTTCAGAACAAAATTTTACTTCTGATGGCCTTGCAGACATGATAATTATTGCAGATCCAGATGAAACTTCCAAACATGTATGTCCTGGTTTATTTAAGTTGTGGAAGTACGAGCTGACTCACAGACCATAAAATGTTTTATCAGCAAGGGAAAG